TGAAATTTATTAGTTATTTATATAATTGTGTAAATATCAAAATCTTCAAAATAGTGCTTATTAGCCGTATATCTCATAGGGTCTGTAAATAACTTTGATTGTTATATAATATGGAATGAATAAAAAAAGTGCTTATGATTACTTAATTCAGTCTATACCAGTGGCCAGATGAAAGAATATGGTATATTATATGTCTAATATTTTTATGGTGACTACTACATTTCTAGAAATTTTTAGAAATTTTACAATTTTCTAAAAAGTTAGGAAATAGACATTCTATGGGGATTAAATTTATATGCAATTAAATCTATAATGTCTAGAAAGAACTATTATTACGTAGCAGAATTGTAATTCTTATGCCAGGCAAAATCAAGCAATGATCAATTGGAGTATTAATATTAGGAAAAATTGCAGAGATATAGAGAATTATTAATTAATTTAAAAATAACAATTCAATCACAATATCAAATCAAATTTTATACTACTTCACTTTGCATATACCTGCTTTATCAATGCATTATTAATAAATTCACAACTGATTCTGAATGCTTTACCTGTTTGTACTCTTTTATGAATCACCTGAGCGATCGCGAAACCCAGAGTTCTGATGGACTAATAAAATATCGAAGAAAAAAACGCTTTTACTATTACTATACGATATTATGTAGCACATGTGTGTAAGGCAGTAGTTGGCAACTTATTCACACCTGATACACTAAAATACTATTTCGGTATATTTGGAACATACAATTTATTGGAATTTCAAATGGTGTAGGTGTAAGTCGTCATATATGGATATCATACAGTTAAAACTACAGTAGAACTCCAATTATCCAAATTAATGGGGACCGGGACCCATTCGGATAATCAAATATTCGGATAATCGGAGTTTTTTTTTAAATTGCCATTGGAGAAAAAAAAGTTACGTTTTGATATTGCACTATTTTTTTTATTGAATTAAATGAAAGAAACATGACATTTTCACATGTTTTAAATATAAATAAAATGTACTTAAACGAGTTAAAAAAAAATGTACAAGTTTAGAAATAAAAATCATTGTTTTGTAAACATCTCCGTCAAATCAAAACAAACAATGTGCCTACACTGGCTTTGCTGGTGGAAGAATATTAGCGCACTTAGACTTTTTTTGGACAATTTTTTTTCTGAAAGTGATTCGGATAATCTGCGATTCGAATAGTCGGAGTTCGGATAATTGGAGTTCGGATAATTGGAGTTCGGATAATTGGAGTTCGGATAATTGGAGTTCGGATAATTGGAGTTCGGATAATTGGAGTTCGGATAATTGGAGTTCGGATAATTGGAGTTCGGATAATTGGAGTTCGGATAATTGGAGTTCGGATAATTGGAGTTCGGATAATTGGAGTTCGGATAATTGGAGTTCGGATAATTGGAGTTCGGATAATTGGAGTTCTACTGTATTGAAGAATTTTTGTCGTTAACAATAAAAATACTATTGAATACATAGTTGGAATGTAATTTATGCGATTTCAGATGAATTATCCTGACATGAAATAATATTAGTTTCAGTTTCTTTTTATGTTATAAGTTGTGTTCTTTAGTCTTCAATAAATGGTCTATTCTGTCACCTCGTCCCTGTCGATTTATTCTTTCGGTTACCCGCCTCTGGCTTACGTATTCTGTGTATTGCGCGATGTGTAGCGGTACCCAGGCCAGTTGACCTTGCCAGAGTTCTGTGTTTGTTGAGTTAAGCAATCCTTTTACTATTAACGGTTGTCTCAGCGGGCGGCCGAGCATTGTGCCCGACCTTTACTCAAGGCCGTCATATTAATAATAAAGTATATTAATTTTAAATAAATTATGACAATCTATCGCATATTTAAATTTGGCAAGATTCTTTCAATGAGAAATAATTACTGTGATTCTAATTTTCTGAATATGGTTTTCCAGTTACTTAAAAATATTGTAATGAGCTATTCGAGAAAATTAGAACTATTATTCTTGGATTAGATTGTTCCTTCATCTGCTTCTATTATTATTATTTGAAATAGAAAACAGATCTATTTTCAGTGTTTTATGATCTGTTGTCATGTAATTTTTTCTATCTTACTTTAGTTCTGTTATTATCTTTTCACTCATAACCAGATTTTCCCAAGGCTTAGTAGTTAAGCTATGCGCTTGGAATCAGAGAAACCAGCCTCTGTCAGCTTGATGTCAAGCAGTAGTGGTTTTCACTTTGAAATGTAGATAGCAACATGCTTCCCAGTAAAAATAGAATTGATGGTAAAAAAGTAAATAATAATATAATAAAATAAATTAAACATATTAAAGCCAACCGTTGGGTTTCATTCTAAAAATAATAAAATAATAAAATAATAAATTATTAAAAATTCATCAAAATAAGGATATATGACTAGTAGAAGTTCTAGTTGCTGTTCATATATAAAAAAAATCTTTTCTCTTTGTCATCAGAAAATGTTTTCATACTTCTAATTGTGATGTTATATATTGCAGCAAAGCCCCGAAAGACTAAATTCACTTAGAAACATTTTATATGTATGTATAAAATATATCTTCAATTGAAAACAGATATCACTGCTGCTTGTTCAGGTTGTACATAAGGTTGAATTTGAACTGGAAACCTTGCGGTTGCAAGGCCGGGGCTCTTATCTCTACACTACCAACGATGCGTTATCAGATCAAATAATTTTATAAAAGTATACAGCATTTTATAAGAGTATAATTATCCTGTATTCCCGGAATTCTTTTCTTTTTCTATCTCATCTTATAATAAGCGAGTGATGGTATAAGAGAGGATTTGAGCTTTGGGTGAGATCATATTTAATTATTACAAGAGAGAGTTGGTATATACTTCGTAAATACCATAAACAAGCCCTATCACATTCCTTTACGTGTTTAATCCTTTCCACTCAATTGGATTTATATGAATTTTGCCGCCGGAGACACGGCATCCGAGTGGAAAGAGTTAAATTTGGCGCACTTTTTGTGCTTAATTTCTAGAAATGAAGTAATATGGAAAATAGTTAAGCCAGTCGTCAGGATTTTGCCGAATTGCATTTGAAACATCTTTTTTATAATGCTAATTTAGCTTATTTTAAAGCACTATTAACCAATTATATTTACAGCATGGTTTGCGTTTATATTTTTCCATTTATGCCAATTTGTCAAAGTCGAAGGGTTGTATTTTATTGCCTGCAATTCAGAACCGTGCAATTATCTGTTGTGCGCACAAACATTTTATTGGCTTATGACGTGCGTACAGGCATAAAATTATTAAGAATACTTCGATGGGGAATGCATAGTTCTTTAGGATTATGGTTTTAGAAAAGGGTTTTATTGTCATCAGTTAAATTTTACAAAAAAATTGCATGCTACTAAAAAACATTTTTTCATACCAAAAGAGATAAAATACACCGTTTACCGTGTATTTTAACCCTCAATAAAATGCAAATTTTTGAAACTTTGCAACGATAATAACTTACATTTTCCAAATCGTCTGATATTCAAAAATAATTTATTAATGTAAATAGATGAAACAATATTATTATAAGTCCCTTATTTTACGTTCTTGGAGAAGAAAATCGATATTTTAAAATATCAAATTATAATAAATGCTTGTATAAACCGCTAATTCAGTTGTTATTTTTGCATAGCAATTTATAATCCTTTCAAGGTGCGACAAATGGCATTTATGCGGCGACAAGCTTTCTGGCATTGGAACGAATATTGCATGTGATGTATAAATTATTCAAAATGCACAATAATGATAATTTACAAGACGATATTTATAATTTAATGATGAAAATATGCTCTAAAGTTCTGTAAAGAATTAACTACTCTATAAAGCTTTTGTATAAAGAAATCTGAATAGAATCAACTTTGAGAATTTAAGAAAGTTTAAGCCCTTTCTTTGTCATTTTCAGTATTAACTGTCTGTGATATGCTGATGATCTTGAATATATACTAACAAATTTATGATAAGAACTAATGAGAATAATTTGAAAATATTTTTTTTGTTAATTACTTTGCCATGAATATTTTTTCCCTCTACTGCTCATTATGATCTCATGGCTAATTATAAATTTAAAACAAGGCATGATAATGCTGTTAATATTTTTTCAGAATTAATAACCGGTTATATAAGCACTTTCGCTTCGTTCGACCGCCAAATTTTTTTTCCGTTTTTTAATAAATATGATTCGAATATTATATTTTGAATTGCTTACTTGTCTGCTGGTGAATAAATTGTTTGGAGAATAAGTCATAGAAAATATCATTGAGTGTTATTTAAAATTAAATGAAAAAATTATATTCGACTGATTCTTTTACTACTGATTGTTAGTTTGAGATGAAGCTCGAAATAAAATATGAAAAACGTGTATAAAGGTATACGCATAATAAATTATAGTAATGAGTAAGAACTACTTATAAATTGAAATGTTTTAATCGCAAAAATATGTTGGTTTAAAGCCATTAAAAATCGTATAAACAAACAAATTACCATGGATCATCAATAATGGTCAATGTCAGCGAACAACATTTACTGTTGAGTTTTATACGCCGCTTAAGGTTCCAATGAATGCTCATGAGCAACTGAATTATAAATTTTAATGATTTGATTAATAATAAAATATTATTTAGATTTCAGATATAATGTGTTTGAATTTATAAAAGAATTTTGTTTATAATTATGTTGATCGGTGAGCATCATGTGATTCAGTAAGATTAAAATGAGCCAATTCTGCCGTAACATAGGCGATAAGATAGCGTTGTTATGGCAACGCTATGTTATGCTTGTGTCTTGGTGGTAAAAACTGTAAAAATGTCTACCTAATTGCTGTACGATCAATTGAAATTTTATTGTAAATTATTTATAAATTTAATTACCATTATCGATTACTTAACTATTAATAGCTCATCTACTAAAATCGTACAATAAATTAAATTACAATGAATTATTTTATTCCGTGAAGATGATCGATAATATATAAAAGACTTACCGTTATTGTTGCACCAGGTTGTAAACATTTCCGGAGGGCATCTAAAGGTCCTGCTATTGGTTCTTTCATTTTTTTAAGCATATTAGATTTTTCCTTTCGGGGTTCAGCTCTCACCGGTTCTGGTAATAAAAAAAGTATATATAAAAATATATATAGTATCAAAATATTGCTATATTTATTTTTGCGATTATATAGATATATTTATGCTACAGAATAATTAAAGTAAAATAATAACTGCATTTATTAATTGATATGATTTTTTTTTTATTAAGATGGCAGCAGTGACTGATACTATTGCATGGTTCATGTTAATTGAGGTTTGGATGGGGTATAAGGTAAAAAAACACTTTTAGGGGTTAAAAGGTAAGATAAAGCT